AGCTCCACCAAGGCATTCATGGCTGGCAGGTGGGAAGCAGCAGATCCTGCCACAGAAACCTCTTCCCTCCAGGGCATTTCTGGAGGCTGGCAGCACAAGGCCAGAGGCTGTGGCCACCTCGCAGAGGCACGAAGCTCAAAACTTTACGGAGTAAACAGTGGTCACACGTCAGGGGGACTCAGAACCCTGGGTCCTACTCTCTTCCCACTGAAGACCTGAGAAAGACCACGATGGGCCATGAGCCCGGCTCAGCTCAGAGAAAGGCCAAGAGAACAAGCCCCGCACCAAGAGCCAGAAGACCCGAAGCCTGGTTCTGTCTCTACAAGCGTATCCATGCGAAGTCACTCCCGCTGCTCAGTACTCTCACTTGTAATCTACAGACCAAGACTAAGTGACCCAGTCAGATCCCACGCTCTGAAAGGGGACAGCATCCGCTGTCACCATGGGATGGCCTCAAAAAGCATCATCACCCAAATCCTTCTTTATGGGAAAATACTCTATGACAATTATCTCATTTCATTATCGTTACAACTCTATCACCAATCAACGAACAAGGGAACTGAGCTCAGAGAGACTAAGTAACCTGTCCAAGGTCACACAGCCAGTAAGTGGCAGAACCAGAATTCAAACCCAGGTCTGCATGCTCCAAATTCATACTCTCTGCATTACCCACAGAGTCTGCAGGGAAGAATCTCTACGACACTTTCTCTATACTTCTTGATTTTATACAGCGGGATAATTTTATCCCTTCCGACCGAGCAACTTAGCATGCAAACACTGACATGCAGGCAACAGTGTAATGAGTCTTCTCTGTTTGCCCATTTTTTTCTGACCTCCCTGGCTACCTTTCCGTCAATTTGCAGTTAAACACCACTTTAGAGAAAAGTCATGTTTCCAAGAAGTTTATATGTCAAGTGCATCTCAGGTTATGAAAACTGAATTTGCCCAGCCAATTCTCCTAAACTCTGTCCTTGTTACGCTGTGCTTACCATAAACCTCACACACACACACACACACAGAGCACAGCACGACTTAATGCCAGGCCCCATTCTAAGCACTTACTCCCTTTAATCCTCGTAACAACCCTACGTCATAGGCACATTATCTTCATTCTAAAGATGAGGACACGGAGGCACAGAGAAGTCACTTGCCCGCAGACGCGTGAGCGGCAGGAAGCAGGACTGGGATTGAAATACGGCAAGTCTGGCTCCAGCATCCACCTCACAACCAGGACCCTCTCCTGCCTTCACTGGTCAGGGAGCCTGCGGCCCACCCGGGAAGCCAGAGTCACTGGCCTGGAGCAGCACTTGGTACCTGAGCGAAGAATCCCTTCCGACTCCGTCTGGCAATCAGCAGCCTCTTCCACAGAAGGGCCACAAACTGCTGTTGTGTGAGCTTCCAGCCCTTCACCTGGTAGGAGCCTTTGCCGTCCATCCCGCTGAGCAGGTCTGTTTCTCTGGATTCTGCAAGAAGCCAACACTGAAGGTCACCTAGCATCTGAGGCAGTTTTGACCTCACCACGCTCCGCCCTCCATCATCCTCAGAAACCGTCTTGGAGGCTTGTGTTTGAAAGCCAAAGTCTCTCAGAAGTCAAGGGCTTTCATGACAAATCAACATCCCAAGAAAAGCTAGGACCCCAGCTGTCCAACAGTAGAGCCTTCTGCCTTCCGGTTCTTGTGTGAGGAAAATGAAGGTGCCTTGAGACAACTGAAGAGAAGTGTTCACACATAACTGTTGTACATCAAGTCATTCAGATGAACCAAGTCATCCTCAATTTCTTATAGAATATTCTACGAGACAGGCCATGCATTTAGGCTGACGTAATTGAGAACAGACAATGCTGATTTGTCTACCATCTATGATTTTGGTAAAAATAGACACAAATGATGTAAGTATAGACAATGTCTGAAATCAGGGAAAACATGAGGGCCACACACTCACAGGAGCAGGATTAGGAGAAAGGTTTCTGTACCTCAAAATTGTATAAAAATCCTTGTCTCAAACTAATGATTCCTAATTGAGGCGTTTTCACATCTTACCAACATTTGCTTGACTTCTTGTCCTCCATTCTCCATCCCAGTCAAACACACAGGGACACGCTCATCCAGAATATCTAAGTCTAAGGTACACTCAGCTCTAAAAGCTGACCTACTCCAAAATCATTCATCAACAATTAAACACCTTATCTAGGCAAGAAACTGGATCTCCACAGAAAAGATACAAATGGATTCAGAAGACTGAGGGACCATCCTTTTATGTGTGTCTCAAGTGAAAGATCTCAACTAAATGAAAAAAGTGGTAAGGATGGGCTCCTTCAGGTTTGATGGTGTGCCCAATGCTGGAAAAGCAAATGTGGCTTTTTCATCATCCCACTACCCTTTGGACCCTGTAGGCATCTATCATCCCATGCTCAAAGCCATTAAAAGGTAACACAGCAGTAACACAAGACAAGAAATTCACTTTCAAACAATGGAACACAGATCTTGCCCAAACAGACCTGGGTCTACATCAGAATCATTAGGATCAACAGCATCATCTTCAGTGAATGGGTGAAGGCAGCTCTGCTTGTCCCCGAAGGCCCGTCTATTTCGTCTTGCTGGCAAGGTGCCATCTGCAGGCAAAAGGAAAGAATTCCACATTTTATTTTATTTGTAACAAAACAAGCCCTCCTCAAGTCAAAGGGAAAGGGACAACACTGGTTAACTAAGACAGCCTACAGGAGGCACTTCCCAGAGCATACAGCTCCCCCCAAGGCTTACCTGAGGTCTCAGCATCCACCCCACTCTCTTCAGCCACTTTGAGAAATATCTGAAAAAACGGTAGGGAGAATAGTATAACCATCACGTGATGAAAGCAACCATCACCGCCATGATTATTACATTATTGAGTGGCTTGTTAGCCCCTAAAGACAAAAGGTAAAAGCTTCATTTACTAATAATACTTTGCCAGTCATGTGGGAGTGAAGGCATTTTTAACCAGAGAACATTTCCTCAGTAGTGAGAACTATCAATCCAGACAATCATTTTCAAATTAAAGGTATGACATTAGAACACTACAGAAGAAATGTGTTCTGAATCTACAGGGAACACATAAGGTGGCTTCCTCCAGGTCTATGGCCCCCAAATCTTTGAGTAGGCTAGCACTGTGGTAAGTAATCCAAGACAGAATCATCAAAAGATGATGGGCTCCCCATTACTAGAAATATTACATCAGGGATTCAAACATCTTAAGACAATGTGAACTAGCCAATGATTTCTAAACTCTGCACTACAGACCACAGCCTGGAAAGCATGTAATAAAAGCGCAGACATTAAGGTCTTACCTCCAGAAATTCTGATTCAAAGACCCTGGCGCTGAGGCTTGGAATTTTTATTGTCGGTAATATCCCCAGATGATTTCTCTGCCTGGTCAAGCTTGGGGACCACTGGGCCAGACAACTTTTGTATCCTTCCCAGCCCTCCAGGTCTATGATGCTGTGATCTCTAAAGGCAGGTGCTGCTACAGAGTAAAGAGAGTGTGGGCTTTGTGGCCCAAACCCTCGATGAATCCTAGCTCGGCATCCCTGAGTGCCCACCTTTTCACCTTATTATGGGGATAATATTAAGTTACAATGATTTCTTTTAAAGATTTTATTTATTTAAAGAGAGAGAGTGTGCATGAACAGGGGGGAGGGGAAGAAGGAGAGAGAGATAATCCCAAGCAGACTCTGTGCTGAGCACAGAGCCTGACACAGGGCTCGATCTCACGACCCTGAGATCACGACCTGAGCTGAAATCAAGAGTTGGATGCTTAACCGACTAAGCCACCCAGGCACCCCTACAATAATTAAAACAAACAAACAAAAAAACAGCAAAAAACCCCCACCCACCCAGGTCAGCACGAGGCACATGCAGATTTTCCATAAACGCTGGCTATTTCCTACACGTGGCCATGACACAGCCATGTCAGGGAGCAATCCTAATCTAGCTCTCCTGCTATCTCCCACCACAACTTTAAAGGGTTAACTGTGGCAATAATACCCCAACATCAATGATATAAGGACTCAAAATGACCAGCTCCATGGTAATCCTATTCCCCTGGGGGAAAAGCAGTCTACCTGTCTGGCCTTAGGACTGTGGGACCTGCTATACTCTGAAATCAGTCACTGAACTTACTTCTTCCAGGGTTGTCTCCGAGATGCCGTAACTAGAGATGCCCAGGTCTGAGAGCCGGTCATCAATCTCATGGAAGAGTTCCACAAAGGCCCCCTCTTTGGCAGCTTCGTAGGGCAGCACATAAGTCAGTTCATGCCCAATGTCTTCCACTAGCCGGGCTTCAGCCACATGCTTCCTGATGAGGTTGGAGATGGCCGAGACATCTGTAGGGACCAAAGCACAAAGACAGCTCAGCCAGCTCAGAGGCCCCCCACATCAAAGGGCCAGCCGTGCCTCACCTTCTCCCTTTGCCTACCCCTAAGAAGCCAGCTGTCCACGCAGGATACCCGTCCCCAATACTTAAGTCTTTCCACATGTTCATCTCTGACCTGAGAGTTCCTGGGGGCAAGAACTAGGTCTTATTCACCAGAGCCAGGAACACTGTAGGTTCTCAGTACACTGTCGGTGGGTGGGTGGAAGGAAGACTTTCAGAGTTGGAAAGCCTTGTGTCTATTGCCTAAACTCTAGGAGTCTTCAGTGGAAGACCTGAGTAACAGAAAATTAAACGATTCTTCACCCTTCCCTAACCTGCTAAAGGAGGCTCCTTCTATTTATGTCAATAAAGGGCTAATCAAACAGTTCATGGAGGAAGACGACATCTCTCTGGAAAAAGACAAGTTTTTCGGACTGGGCACCGATGGACACAGTAAAGGCTTCTGCCCCATAGGTGTTACTGGTGACACTGGTGTCCCATATATTATGCCAAAGGAGGACCCAGCAGGCCGCTCTCCGTCTCCTGGGCTCTCACTCTCCTTAGCTACTGAGATCCAATCCCTCCCCCATGGCTTGGCACTCAGCATCTCATCCCTGGTCTCCAGTGTCCAGCCAGATCCATTCCCCAGGAGATCCCCCACCCCCAATCACGTCAGCCTCTCAGGGTCACTGCCCTGCCAACTCCCACACCGAGCCCCCCAGCAAGCGTTAAGCCAATCTGCCACCAAGCTGCACCCTCTCCCAGCACCCCCCACCCTCCGCCCGGCCCCAGCCCAGCAGCAAACCTTGAGTCAGCGCCACCAGCCTCTGCACCTCTCCTCCTCTGCCTCCACTCTGCCCAGCTGGGGGAAGCTCAGGCACCACCTGAATAAGAAACCCCAGAGTCCTTACCGATGGTCAGCGTGTCACTTTCATGGTCGCTGCCCAGGCCAGCATCAGAACTGCTCTGAGAAACACTGTCCTCCTGATGGCAAAGAAGGAGGTGAGAATGGGTCAGGGACCGAGCAAGGTATAGCCGCCAGCACCTTCACCAGGGAGGGCTTCCATGAGACTCTACTGTGTGGCTCCTCCTGGGAGGCAACTAATGGGGCGACCGTGGCTTCAGAAGCCCCTGACATGCGTGTGCTGTGTGCACAGGAGGTCAGGGAGCATAGCCATCAACGGAAGGGGGGCCAGCGATGAACGCTGTCGCCAGGATTCCACTGACCCTCCTAGCATGGGATTCACCTGCCTGGTTGTCTGGCTCGGCGCCTCTCAAGCCTTGACTTACGTTGAGCCACCAGGGGACCTTGTTAAAATGCAGATTCTGATTTAGTGAGTCTGAGAGCTGGGCCCACGTTTCTGCATTTCTAACAAGTTCCCAAGTAATCCCGATGCTGCTGGTCCTCAGACCACACTTTAAGTAACAGGCACTCGTTAAAAGATAAATAAGCAAATAGGAGGTGAAGGCTGGGATGCAAATGTTTTAGGTGCCACTGGTTTCAGCACACAAATGAATCTCAGGCATGTATGGTGGAACAGAGGAAAACCTACCTGGTTATCGGGTTCTGGTACCACCTCTGTTACTTACCTGCTCGCTGACCTACAAGCCTCATTTCCCTAATCTGAGATAATAATCACAATACCTCCCTCCCATTGTTGTTCTGCACTTTGAGATGAAGGAAGTTAAAAAAAAAAAGGAAAAGTTTATAAATGATAATGATGCTGCAAAAAAATTAACTAGTACTGTCATTTTCTTTTATGCCCAGAATCTGCTAGAGTTGAGCGTCCGCCATGAAATCAGTGTTCAATAAATATATGCTGTTTTGCAGTTTAGAAGTGAAGCTCAATGAGATTCAAAGGGAATGAGCAGGAATGACAGAGCATTCTGCAGCTAGGGCTCGTCACTCCTGGCAAGTCTTTTTTCTTCGCTCTAATAAAGGCCCCTAAGGACCTTCTCTATCACTCACTGTGTCTCCACAGGAAGAAGGAAGTGGGATCCAACCACACTCTCACTGCAGGAACAGATGTGTCCTGAGCTGAGCGTTCCACATAGGAAGTATGATGTGATTCCAAAGGGAGATGGTGACCCCCATGCGGCCCAGTGGGGTGGACATGGACAAGCCAGTGGACAAGCCGCTCCCGGCCAACAAGCCCAGCGCCAGCCCAGCACTGAAAATACAACTCACCTTTTTCAGGTATGACACAGTGCTACTACTATTTCTGCAGGAACTAAGGGAGGATTCCACATCCTTCTTAACCAGGGTCAGGTAGTAGCCTGTTCCCAGCTGGTTCTTCAGAAACAGGGAGGAGCCCACACAGCACAGCTTCCCATGGGAAATGATGGCAATCCTGTCCCCCAAGATGTCTGCTTCATCCATGTGGTGCGTGGAGAGAATAATGGTGCGGCCTGCCAGGCACAAACACAGGGGCATGGGACAAGTGAGGCCTACTGGTTCTCAATGACTGAAGCAGCCGGAACTACAGATCTATCAGCAGGGGTCACCGAGGCAAAAGAATCTGGAAGCCTGTGTGGCAAAGCTATCCTCACAGAAATCAGAACAGGAACATTCGTTTGGGAATTTGCTACACGCCAGGCAGGGCGCTAGGTGGTCTGCATGCATTCTCATTTCACTAAAGCTTCTATGAGGCAGGCACTACTGTTATTGTAGGTAAAGAAATGGAGACAAGTTAAATGACTTTTCCAAGGTCTCACGGCCAGCTGGAACTGGCTGGCTCCAAAGTATATATCGTGTACCATGGTGGGGACAGAGATGAACAAAGACATAGCCTCTGTTCTCAGCCATCGGTCTAGAGGGGAACACAGTTATAATGGACATGTCCAAGCTCTACGCTACAAGTAGCTCTGGGGGACCATGCCCTTTATCCCCACTTCTCTTCTTGCCAGCCCCTAGATAATGAAAGGCATACATGTTAAGTTTCTTGTAAACCAGGCCTTCCTTCTACATCCAGACCCCGGGTGAGCACAGAGCTCTAAGAAAAGAAGTCCCACATTCTTGAGAAGCAATTCTGCTGCTCTGTCAAGAACAGCCATGAGCCACAGCTACAGCCACACGTCTCAAGAGCCCCTGCATCCCTCCCTCCCTCGAAATAAACACACATCAGCAACCTTGTCGATATTTCAGCAGGAGCTCCCATATTCCCCTGCGGGAGTAAGGGTCCACGCCGGCTGTGGGCTCGTCCAGAATGACAACCTTGGATCCCCCAACAAAGGCCAAAGCCACAGACAGCTTTCTCTTCATTCCGCCTGTGAGAGAGAGAGAGAGAGAGAGAGAGAGAGAGAGAGAGAGATGTTCCAGGACCGGCCCCAGACAGCGAAGGCAGAGGCGTTGAGAGACGATCAGAGGCACCCACCTGGGGACAAGCCAGGGACACATTTCTGACTTACCCACCCACCCCCACACTGGGACACTGGGACAGCTGTCGTTTCTCGTGCGTGCATGCATGTGTGCTGGGGGTGGGGGGAGGGGGGACTCACCTGACAGCTGACTTGTTTTGCTTTTCAGTTTGCTGGGTGGCAAACCAACATCCAAGGCCATCTGCTCCAGCTCTGCTTTCACGTGCTTCTCCGAGAGCCCCTTCAGCCGTGCATAGAACCAGATGTGTTCTTCCACAGTCAGCCTGGGGAAAGAAGAGCAGGTCAGCTCTGCACCCCACGGGCTGCATCAGAACACAGTGCTTCCTGACCCACAACAGAAGAAAATAGGCACGTTTCCACTGCCCGCCCCCTGCCCTGACCTTTTCTAACTATCTCAACTTCTGAAAAATAACAGGAAGAATCAAGACAGAACAACCGTAAGCAAACCACCGGAGGGGCTGAAGAAGCCGAAGCTGACATGTGACCAGTCCCTTCCAGCCTATTCCCAGCAGGCCTGGCCACCATACATCAGGCAGTTGCAACTTTCAATCCAGGTCCTCAAAGGACCCACCCCATAATCAACCAAGAAGCTGGCTCGGCATTCACCTGGAGGAGCCCCTCCAGGAACTCAGACTGTGCAAGGAGGGAGGCCCCTGTGGAGGACATGAGCCTGAGCTGCTCACTCTAGGGAAGAGCAGACAGGGGTCCAGAAGGGGAGAAGTCCTTGCCCAAGGTCACAGAGCCCAGGTCTTTCTCTGCTCCACTACGAGGGCTCCCTGGGGGGCCTGAATTGCTGACAGGCCCACCTGAATGGAAGCAATGTCTTGAGCAGGAAATGCTGGGCCATCGTGACAAGGGCCCCGAGGCACTGCCAAGTCTGGGCATAAGAGCTGCAGCTGGTGTCAGGGAGGAGTGTGATGGGAGAGCGGACAGGCTAAGTGGCCCTCTAAAGTGTCAGTAATGGAGAGCTCCCTTTCCCACACCCTCATCCACCAGCTGGACTGATGGGACATCTCTCGCCCAACAATCGCCTCCTACTTTTCCTAAAATGGGAGGACGACCGGGTCTCACTGTGCAAGGAGGTGAGACCCGCCGCCCCCACAGAAGGCAGAATGCTTAAGTCCCCCTCCGCCCGTGACTCATGACACACATCCAGGGAAGGTCTGCTTCTCAAAGTGCTGCTGGTACTCACATGTCAAACAGCACGTTATGCTGGGGGCAGACCCCCAGGTTCTGCCGGATGGTGCTCATCTCAAAGCGAATGTCTTTTCCCAGAATGTAGGCAGTGCCCGAGGTGGGAGGGAACAACCCAGTCAGGATTGACCTGAAGACAAAAATTTACAAGTGCAAGAGTCAGTGTTCTCCGCATTCCCCTGGAAATGTTCCATGCCAGGCCGCGGAGCCCAGGCACCTGCAGCAGAGGCATCAACCCCCCTACACCCACATTCCTTCCTAACAGACCCGAACTGACCCCTACAAAGCAAACAAGTCTTTGCTTTAGTGGACAACCAGGAGTGGGCCTAAGTGTTGGAAAGGGCATTATCAGGACAAGCATTTTTAAATGATTCCAACTTGCCATGAAAAGTACAGTTTGAGACATACACTTTGTAAGTCCAAAATCATGTCCATGAAAATTGGACTAACCAGAAAAAGTTATTCAGAGACAAAAATCATTTTTGTGTTCGGCAGCAGGATTTTTGTGCGCCTTTTAAAAATTACCTGCAATGTTCATATATTGATTTTGCGTTAACCAAAAAAAAAGAAAAACAGAAAAAGAAAAACAGGAGAAGGTCAGCATCCCTAAAGATACACCTTTGGCAATAGTTGAGGGACCACACTAAAAGTCACTGAGGCTAACTCTGGTGTGTACGGCTCACTCTCCCTCGTGAAGCCACCCATCATGAGGTCTTTATAGGTCCCTGTAGGTCCCAGAAAGGGCAGTCACATGGCCAGGTCTCACACCTCCTTAGCGACAGAGCTCCTGGAAATCACTACTTCCCTCCAACATATCCCATCTCCCCACATTCTTGTTTCATAGTTCTAACCAAACCAGCTCAAAAGGAGACCCTTTCTCGGAGCTGTCACAGCCTTAGGGTCCCAGGAACAGTGCAGAATTCTGAGAACCAAATGGGAAAGGTCACCAGGAGGGCTCCCAGGGTTCTAAATGGGAAAGGTCACCAGGAGATATCTAGCCAAAACCAGCCGTGGGGAAAGCACTCTTGTGATGAGATAGTATCTTACATTCGTCAACTCCTCCCCAGCGCTGCCCTTGTCCCAGTGACCAACGCAATGCCCTTGCGTCCTGACTTCTAAGTGCGCTACGGAACCTGCCCGCAGCTGATTCTGACAGCCACACCCTCTTCTTACATGGTGGTGGTCTTCCCAGCTCCATTGTGGCCCAGGAAGGAGGTGATCTGGCCCTCATAGAAATTCAAGGCCAGGCCATCAACAGCCACCTTCATGCCATCCCGGTAAACCTTCATCAGGTTCTGAATGGACACGCCCAGCTTCAGGTGTGTGGGCTCCTCCTCCACGCAGACTGTCAGGAGACAGAAGACAGAGGATGGGCATGAACCACGGCAAAAACCGACGAGTGTGGCACAAAGACATGGCGGCTAGGCTCGTACTCCCACAGCTGTCCTCTCTCCACGCATACTTCTGGTTTCTCAGGCAGACATTTATTTAGGGCCTGTTTGGGCAGGAGTGTTGGTGATGGGAATTCGCTGATAAAGGAACATTCACAGTCTATTGGGAGAAAAAGACTTGACAAGCAATCAAAATACAGGAGGCGAAAAGCGGTTTAAAAAACACATCTAAAAATGCCGTAGAACTGTGGAGTACCCAGCCCGTGGAACACAACTCAGCAATGGAAAGGAGTGAACTGTTGATACACATCACAGCTTGGCTGGATCTCAAGGGAATAATGTTGAGTGACAAAAAGCCAACCTCAAAATGTTTCCATACTATATGGTTCCATTTATATCACATTCTGGAAATACCATGCGGAGAACAGAGTAGTGGCTGACAGGTGTCAGGGACTGGGAAGGAAGGGGGGTGGTGGTGGCTCTCAAGGGGCAGAATGAGGGAGTCTGTGTGGATGGAACAGTTCTGCGTCTTGACTGAGCTGGTGATTACATGAGTCTCCACGTGACAAAGTGCACAGAACTAAATACACACCCGTGAATGAGTACATGTAAAACTCTACAATCTGAAGGTCTACACATTATACCAGTATCAATGTCATGGTTTTGATATCGTGCTGTAGTTATGCAAGGTGTTACCATCGGGAGAAATGGAAATGAAAGGCACAAGGGAAACCTCCCAATACTATTTTTTTTTGCAACATCCATGAGTCTGTAATTATTTTATTTTTTTTAAAGATTTTATTTATTTACTTGAGAGAGAGAATGAGAGAGAGAGAGCACATGAGAGGGGGGAGGGTCAGAGGGAGAAACAGACTCCCTGCTAAGTAGGGAGCCCGATGCGGGACTCGAACCCGGGACTCCAGGATCATGACCTGAGCCGAAGGCAGTCGCTTAACCAACTGAGCCACCCAGGTGCTCAGTCTATTAACTATTTTAAATAGAAAGGCCTTTTGTTTGTTTGTTTTTCAATGCCATGCAATCTTAGAGGAGGAACCGACTGACTACTTGGGATTCTAGAAGGACTACTCAGGGATGAGGTACAGAACTAGATCTTGAGGAAGGCAGGCAAGTCAGAGAAAGGGTCCTCCTATGAGAGGACAGAGTACGTACAAAGGCATGGGGGTGTGGAAGAACAGAACGTGTTCTAGGAGACTGACACAGAAGCTTGGTATAAAGAGGAGACTGGGCAAGAAGAGTAGGAAGAGCAGGAGAGGCTGGGACAGTGGGCAAGGGCCGGCTGTAGGTTGTCTAGTATGCCTAAGGAACAGCAGACTCTTCCACCGGCAACCAGGTGAAGGCACAGAAGAGATCCGCAGGAAAGGGATTCATAAGTACTTAGGAAGCCACACTGAACACAAAGACAGTTTCTCTCCAAGAACCAGAGCAAACGGCCCAGAAGGCAGAGCCTTTGCTAAACTGTGGGCACCTCCACCTACAGTCAGGAGCCAGGAGAGGATTAGGGCTCCGGATAATGAAGGGTGAGAACATCAAGAAGCACAGGCTGAGCTCTGACAGCCACTTAGTGGCAGCCTACACAGGCTCGTATTTCCACCACCATGACGAGGCGGGCAGCGAGGTTATGGTTCTTCAATCACAGCTGTCTTTACCCCCTCTTCTTAGCTGTTAATTTATCATAAAAAGCGTGTGTTGGGGGGGGTGGGGGGTGAATGTATAGATATCAAGGGCCTCTTTCCTAGAAGCCAAGAAAACAAAGGCAATGGCCCTCAGGGACCAAGAGAGTGACTCCCCAATAAGTCGACAATAGCACTGGACACAAATGGCATGGGAGGATTTGGAGAGATGCATTGTGTTTGATTTCTTTGCTCCTAGAGTGGTTTCAGACTCTCTAAAGGGCTAAAGCCATCCTTTGTCCCTGACAGTCAGTGGGCGCAACAGCACTTACGCTAAGGGAAGGGCAGGTCGACAGCACTTACTTTCTGATACTCCCTTCTGGCTGGAACCAGGGTGGCTCTTCTCATCACTTTCCTCACCGAACCAGTAGGATTTGGTGCAAGGAAAATACCAGGGCCTGGGGATTCCATACTGGCCTGCAAGCGAAGATCAAGATGGAAGCCAAGCACAGCAACATCCTAGCACTCCCGAGGTATCCCAGCCAGAACTACTCCCTCCTTGACACAGCATCTGGAGGTGACACCACCCTGGGATGGAGGTGGGGGTAGTGGGAGCTCACAAGCTCACATCTGCTGAGACCTACTATGCATTCAAACAACCCCCGAGGCAGGTTATCAGCCACTCATTTTACAGATGAAGAAACTGAGGGATAGTAGCCTACTGAGGTCACTCAGACAGTAAATGAAGGACTCAGAATCTGAACCCAGATCTGTAGGATACAAAATTGCGTATCAATGCAGGAAGCTCAAGTAGAGGTAATGAACATTCCACATATACTCCCTTAGAGGAAAACCAGGGGAAGCAGAAAAAGTTAAACCTCACTCTCTTAGAATTTGTTCTGTATCAAAATGCATCCACGGCAGGTCTTGGTCAAGGAGATTTACAATCCTAGTCTTTAGGTCTAAAGCCCTAGCCACTTTCTGGGGAGCCCCAGGCCCTACAGAAATTCCACCACAGACAGGGCAGAGCTTGGCAGCTAGAAATTACATTTTCCCCAGCTGATGGCTAAAGCTGTGTGGAAGCTCCATGTACCTGGAAAGACAGCCTCAATGTACCACGTCATCACTCCATAGAGGAAGGTGTCGAACAGCATCATGGAGACTGAAATGGTGAGGTTGAAGCCATCTTCCTCCATGGGGCTCTCAAACAGGTTGTCCCACTGCACCCCAATGCCCTGCTCCTCAAAAAGGGCAAAGTACTCACAGCCAAACCCAAAAGCCACAGGAGACAGCAGGCTCTGTGAGAAAGAGGCAAAAGTCAACTTATCCACCTCCTTGTCTCTCATTTTCTGGCACTTCTAATATAAATTCCACCTAGAGAAATTTGAATTTGCAAAATGGATCAATTACAAGATACAGAAGTGTTCACCTACAGATCCCTTGAGGGGAGTGGGCTCACTAGCAGCATAGAAAAGGATTCTACTTATAACCCCTCATTATGCACACGCATTTCAGAAATGCATGCATGACAGAGAGTAAAACTTTTAGAATTTTATGCTTCCAAAGATGCCCCAAAGGCTAAGCAATCCTGCACCTGCCCCACACAAAGACACACACACTCATTTCCCGTTCTCAGCTTGGACTGCAAGGGGAGGTGAAGCACCAGGGGCCGCTGTGCGTGCAGTTACTACCCAGGGGTGGTTCCTCACCACGAAGATCTTGAGCGTGAAGCCCACATAGTCTTGCCATGCCACACACAGCACGTAGGGCAGGTAGAGAATGAAGTAGATGATGCCCCCACAGGCTGCCGCCAGGTTGGCTCTGGAGAAGAGTGTGCTGATCAGGAAACACTGCAGGATGGTCACCACGGCGAACACGGACAGAAAGACAAACACCACGCTGGGGTCACTGTAGGGCAGCAGGTTTCCTAACTGGGAAGGAAGAGACCTATTAATGTGCTGCCTCAACAAGCACACACGTCCTCGCATGATCTATGGGAAGAAGAGTTTATTCGCACTCATCTGAGAGAAAACAGGGAGGAGCAGAGCTGCTCACTGTTCTGATCAGGAAACTGAAGCCTAAGTAAGGATAATGACTATCCAGAGACCACACAGCCTAGCAAGACTGGAGGCAGGAAGAGAAGAGTCTGGGACTGAAATTCATCAAGGTTCAACTCAATGGACAATTTTGTTCTTTGGTTCTCCAAGAAATACTGTTACCTGATGTCTCCTTTTATAAGGACCAGGACTCTCAGCACCAAAAAAGAACCATGGGCGACAGCATCCTATAGGACTTCTCCCTCCAAAGGTCATGGAAAGGGGCCAGGAAATCTTATTCTCCCCCTTGATGACCTGCCATGGATTCTGCATTCCCACAATCACCCAAATTCTTGTGGGCCTTTCAAGTCTATCTCTAGCCAGTTCATCTGGGTGTGTCTGAGGAGGACTAGCCAGCACGTGGTCCCAGAGCGGCTCTTCCCTGCCAGCCACAGGACCACCACCCCAGCCACAGGACCACCACCCCTACCACGGAGCTCCACCCTTGCAGTCAGATATCAGAGCATGAGCAGGGGTTGATTTCAGCAAGAAGCGCTCTGTCATACTGCTGGGTGACCTCGGGGAAGCCCTTAACCTTCCTTGGCCTCATTTCCTTATATGTTAAATGGGTTAGTGAGGATATAATCAGAAAGCACAGGTGAATGTGCTTTAAACAGTGCCTGGCAATCAGCTAAGAGCTCATTTGTATTAACAGTAGCTAGTATTAACCTAAATATTAGTTCCTCACCCTTTATACTTCCCTCTTTGAAAACATTTTTTTACATGATGCCTCCTTAAAACAAATCACTGTAAGGAAAGATTAGCACATAAACCTATGAACATATAGCGTGGCACAGAACAGCACTGGCCGGGGTCCCCTTGAAGGGGGAACGTGCTGCCCAGCTGCCGCAGCAGACAACCTCTAGATGTCAACCTCCTCTGGGTCTGTCACAGCCACACAAAGCTGCCTGGCCCTGGGGCTCGTGATTCCAATGACTGACTGAGGGGCCCGGGGTCTGGGGTGTCAGGGAGGGAGGCCTTGGGGCTGGACAGCTCAGCTCAATGAGGCACAATTCCGGCGAGCTGTATATGGTCCCGAGTGCCCGTGGGGTTGGCCGTGCACTGCGTCTCACAGCTCCTTCCCATGCTCAAACCTGCGCATTCCCCGTCACTTCCCCAGATGTTGATGCCAAATAATAAGCCCTGCGCCAAACTCTCTCAGCCCCTGCTTCCAGAAAAAACCTAACCTGCAACAATATGTATCCTCTGATTATGGTTTTCAGAAATTCTGGCAGAATCACCACCCAACACATCTAAGGAAATGAACAGCCCTCAGATGCTGCCACGAACCGCTGCCCAGCAGACGTCATGGCACAGTTAAGTGTGTGCCTACATGGGAAGCAAGAGCCCTGGTTCTAGCCCTGTTCAGCCGCTAGCCAGCTGGGTTGACCCTGGGCAAGTCACTCTCACTCTCCCCAAATACAGAATAAGGAAACTGCAGGAGAAGACATGTCTGACCCTTTCCCTCCCAAATAATCTTTGCTTTTCTCCTCACAGCCTGTGTTGGGCTGTTTAGGAGTCCCCAGGCAGCAGGGAGCCAGGGTGGCAGCCTTACTTTCAGGATCACCACAAGCAGGCCGGCGCTCACGAGCAGAGGAATGAGGCTACTGATGAACCAGCTGAACCACAGGATGCCGTTGTCCAGGCCCATGATGCGCATGGTCTCCTTCAGCCGCGCCTCCTTCTCATACACGATGCCCTTGATGATCACAGCCACGGAGTAGATCCAGGCCAGCGTCATGAACAGGGGCATGGACCGGCTCATCACCCGCAGGAAGCTGGAGGCCCCAGGGAAGGGCGGAGGAGAATTACAGGGAGTGAGATTCAGGCTTGGAGGCCTGTGCCCCCAGGGCCTGCGTGCGAGAGGAAGCCCCAAGACCGAGTGAACGAGGGGCAGGCTCTCCGGACTCCAAAACATACAGGTTATCAAATGCTTCATGAGGAGCACAATGTAGCATTAACAGATAGACCAACGAAGTGCTGCCAAGTAGAATTTCTTTGGGGCCTGCTTTAGTCACTAGATAACTGTGAGGTGTGGGTTACTTTAAAGTACTAAAACAAAAACCAAAAAACCAACTCCTTCTCTCAGGAGAGCTGAACTTCTCCAAGGTCATGTCCCTACTGCCTTGCTTAACTTTTATCACAGATAATGCAGATATAGACTTCAGGCAGCTCTTGTCATATTTCAGATTCCAAACTGGAATAGGAAAGGCAGTGGGCCGTGAAGTAAAAGGGACACAGAATTTAGACCCTGGAACCCAGGCCCAAGTCCCAGCTTTACCACTCAGGTACTTACCAGCTATGTGACAACAGGCAGAGGCCCTTAATGCCGCTAAGCTCCCCTCCTGTTCTCATCCTAAGACATCCTTTCTAGAGTAAATTTTGGCTGAGGGGGGTCTTTGGAAAACTCTGGCTAATCTTTTTGAAGGTGTAAAACAAGATAATTCAGGGTGACTTGGAAAAGCTAGAGCGAGCCACACAAGGAAACAGGTGCTCAGTGCAAAGCATAGAACAAATATAAGAAGAGAACCCCACTCCTTCTACACTCTGATTCCTACACACATACACCACAATGGAGAACGAGAGAATTTCCAGAATTTGGAAGAGACATTACATATCTCAGAGGCCTGCAACAACTACATCTCTGCCCATGCTCTCTCACAAGAAATCACTAGAGGGGCGCCTGGGTGGTTCAGTCGTTCAGCACCTGACTCTTAGTTTTGGCTCAGGTCATGATCTCAGGGTCATGGGATCAAGCCCCCACACCCGGGTGGAGCCTACTTAAGATTCTCTCTCTCTCTCTCTCTCTGCCCCCCTCCCCCGCTCCCTCTGTCTCTCTCTCAAAAAAAGTCATTAGATCCAAAAGCACCGTTGCCACAACGAGATCTTGTCAGCTTAGTGACTAAGCACCGAAAGATTATCTGAAGTCCAAGATAAAAAGGCCTTGTTCAGTTTTATTTAGATTGTTTCAAAATGCAGTTTACCACTTACAAAGAGTAAGTGGACAAACGGACCTGGAGGCAGCTTTTATAGGTCTAGATCACTGTTTCTGTGTTTGGTGGACGTATGTGTGTGTAAGTGCTTGCATGTGTTTGTCACGACACATTGGAAATTTGCAGACTGAGCAAACTTTGACCAAAAGGGCAGGGTATGTAAAAAAACAGAAGCACTGGTAACTACAGATGAAAAAGGAGGGAGGATTCCAGGATGTGCACGTGTGTGTCCATGATGTGACTGGAACCATCAAAGACCTACACCTGGCATCTTATTTCCTAAAATCTTCACTGAATTTCAAAAAACGTTTTTTTGTATCAACACACATGTAAAATACATGAAATCAAAGCATCCTATGTCCTCCTTTGGATGTATGTGCACGCATGTGTGTATAAGTATATATGCGTAGGTCCTGTCTCTGGGGACAGCGTTACCCAGTGCCGTGAAGATGGCGGCTCAGTGGTAACTTACATGTCATCGACATAACAGGGGTAGGGCATCTGCTGCACATAGACACCAGTTTTCTTCTCGGTGCCCGTCAGCACCCTGATGATCGCCTGTTCCACCACATCTTGTAAGTAGGCAAAGCCCCCCCAGACGTACCGCATATCCTCAAAGGGGTCAGCCCGAGGACCGGGGTCCCAGTACCTAAAACCAAATCACAAGTGACTAAATATTCCTTAGAACCATGCATCAAAAAAAGCCAATCACCCATAATCCCACCACCATGACAGAGCCCCTATTTTCATCTTATATATTTATATCTATCTTATTTTATGGTCTCAGTTGTGCACATATTTTTATTTTTTAATTTATTCATTTATTTTAATTTAAATTCAATTACCCAACATATAATACATCATTAGTTTCAGATGTAGAGTTCAATGATTCATCAGTTGCATATAACACCCAGTGCTCATTACATCATGTGCCCTCCCTAATGCCCATCACCCAATTACCCTATCCCCCCACCCCCCTTCCCTCTAGCAACCCTCAGTTTGTTCCCTATAGTTAAGGGTCTCTCCTGGTTTGTCTCCCTCTATGATGACTTCCCGTTCAGTTTTCCCTCCCCTCCCCAATGATCCTCTGCGCTGTTTCTCATATTCCACAAGAGTGAAATCACATAATTTTAAACAGACATAATGAGAATGAGCATACCACCACCAGAATATTGGTTTGGTTTTTCTCCCCTTCCTTGGCTACCTAACGTTGCATCAAGTGGACATACCAAAATTTGCTTAATCATTCCCTTTTTTACTAGCTGTTTGCCCCTTTTTGTAAAAATGGACAATGCTAGCACAGGGAACCTGAAGCCTTTCTTCTTTTCCGCCTGTTGATTTAATGCCATGGGATTAATTCTCCTGAGCAGAAATGCTGAGTCAAAAGATGATTATTTTAGGACCTCTGAAATAACTGTCTCTAGCAATGAATGTGCCACTTTCACCAAAATCATGCCACCAGTTGGAGTTATTTTGGGGTGAAATTTCTACCAAATTATTACTTAAAACAAAGTGCCTCTAGTCATTTCAGCTGCTCTTGACTTCCCCCAAACTGGCTGCTGTGGGGAGACTGAACTCACCCATCCTTGATTTTATTTGTCCTCTCCACATTGTCAATGTCCATTCGGATCTTGTACTTGACATGACGGGGCAACTCCACACTGTCAGGAGTGATTCCGGTGAACACGATACCGGCCCAGAACTTCCGCTCGTCCAGCAACTCCATGGACTTGCTGATAAGCCGGACTTCTGTTGCTACCGGTTCGAGCTTATTCAAGTTGACACACTGACGGAAGAAGAGCCTTCATGAGAACGCTGGGGGCCAGGAAAACACGCAGGGCCCAAGGCAGGCTCTGTCTTAAGAGGGACGTGCTAACTGCGTGACATTTTTACCCTCACCCTCTCTCCAGTCATTTTCTGATATTCAACTGAGACTGGATCCTTTTGTTTCTTAACTACAATTTAAGAGAAATGCTAGAAGTATGTAGAGATAAGTTACTTCTATGGATTTTTGTGGAGGGAAAGAGGTTAACACAAGGATGACACCTCCTTTTCCTCTGTTTTCTTGGCAATTTTGCATCATTACCTAACCAAATAAGCAGACAAAAAAACCAACCAAACAAAAAAAAACAACCCTTGTTTGTCCCTATTAAGTCACATCATTTTTAAAACTAGATTTTTAAAATATAATGTATCCTATTAGTTCTTAGATAAACTTCATAAATAAAGCCTTTTTAAGGGCATGCTTTCTTGACATTAGGTATCGAGCTATGAAACCTTGGGAAAACCTAGAAGATAATGGACAGAAACACTTCCCAGTCAGAGAGAATAAAGCTAGAGTTAGGTCTGTTTATTCACTCATTCAGTCATTCAACTAACATTTAGGAGTGCCTTCTGTACACCAAGCCCTATATTAGGTTTGAAGGATACCACTGGAAATAAGACTACACATTATTTCTAAACTTTCCTCCAATCCAAACCTTATTGCACCACCTCAGAGAAAGAAGCCAAAGACTCTTCTAAATGATCCATGGGACAGATTCTCACCTCCATGAAGCGAGAGATGGTCTGGATTGCCTGGTCAGTCTCATTGAAAGCTTCTCTCCAGGTGTACACAGAGCCGTTAGCAGACTGGACATCCTCTGGGTGCTTGGCCAGAAATGCCAGGATATCTTTGGCAGTCCAGTCTAAGCCATCCAACTGCTGTTCCCAAAAGTGGTCATTGCTTCTGCTGTCCAACAGTGTCTGCCATTCCAACGAGAAAGTACAATCAATAAACACCATATCAGTCCAGATCCTAAGTCTTATAGGATTTACAAAACCTAACCTTTTTATATATATTGTCTCTTTTTTATATCTTCACAGAAAACTGTGAGGTAGATAACAGTGTTCTCATTTTATAGGTAAGAATACTAAGGTTGAAAAAAAAAGTATGGGGGCGCCTGGGTGGCTCAGTCAGTTAAGTGACTGCCTTCGGCTCAGGTCATGATCCTGGAGTCCCAGGATCGAGTCCCACGTCGAGCTCCCTGCTCGGCAGGGTGTCTGCTTTTCCCTCTGACCCTCCCCCCCTCTTGTGTTCTCTCTCTCTCAAATAAATAAAATCTTAAAAAAAAAATTTTTTTTTAAAGTATGATTTTAACCAAGGCTGAGTCATAATGCTAACAGACATGGAGCTGAGACTCAAAGTCAGACTAGTCTGAATCCAGAGTCCATGTTTCCAGCCTAGCTTAATAGTATCAACTGCAGGAACAACAATGATCATACTTAGTCTGCACAATTTTTATATTAGATCATTTGTATGTTTTACCTCACCCAACTCCATGAGGAAGATCTGTCCAGAAGTTCCCATTTTTACAGATGAGGAAAAAGGTTCAGAAAGGTCAAGTCCCTAACATAAGGTCACACAGCTAATACGCAGCAAAGCCAGGGTATGAACATGGACTCTGATTCTACTGTACCTTCCCCCCACATTATATTGTCTTCCTCTTTTGAGACTCAAGCTGATGACTCCTCATAAACACCTTATCTCTAGACTAAATTAAGACAAACCCACTTGTGCTGTTTAGTTTGGGAACATGCTGCCACGATAAAACCAAGTAAAATTGCAGGATGCATGGGTTGTGATGCAGAAGAGGCCTGTCTTTCACGTCTTATTTCCTGGCTGGTTGGTTTCCCATATGAGTCATCATGGAAGAGAAGGACAAACTAATCTGGTGTTCAACAAGTAGATCCAGAGGGCTGGGGCAGAAACCTGCATAGGTGCTGCCAGAAAAGTGGGTTAGCTTCCAACTCAGCTCACGGAAAAGGAGAAGCAGGTGTTAACACCTGTCACAGCTTCAAGGGGAGAGATGAAATTCTGGTTCTACTGAAATGGAATCTCTAAGGAGCCAAACACTGCTAATTTTTTAAATCCGTCTTATTTCCAGTAACAATTTAAGTTTTTCCCCCATGTGGCTTCATATTTATTATTTTAATGGGATCATAATGGTTTTATAGAGTATATATACTATAATTTCATTAACTATTCCCATACTGCTAAGAATTTAGCTTATTTCTAATTTCTCACAATAACAATTATTATAGCAATAACATTTCCTCTCATACAGTGACTTCTCTCTTTAAAATTATTTCTGTAGGGTAAATCCCTGAGGGTGTACAGAATGGAGATACACAGGATAGCACTTTTCTTTATGGCTCTTGCAATTTTCATCCCAAATTGCTTTCCTAAAGGGAGTAACAATTTATACTATCATCAGTTAAGACATGTTAAGTATTTTTGTTAACAGATACAAATTTTTACCTCATAAAAGTTCACAGGGGTATGGGTTAGCAATTCCGAAATGGCTTTCTTTGGAACAAGTAAGAGCTAAATGAAGACACATGGCGTTTGGGGTGAGGCTTGCTCCGCCCCGTGTGGCTTTGAGCAATATGGTTCAGGAAGGCAGCAAGACCAGAAAGATGTGTCCAGCGAGACCACTGATCACACGGCCATTCCAGGGTACTTGAGGGGATTAAGAGACCTAAGATCACCCTTAGGAGTGAAAGCAGGGAGAAAGCAGGGTCTTGCGATGAAGGAGAAAAAGAGCAGCTCAGAAAGGAGAACAGTGTAGTGTCAGTGGGCTTCATGACGCAACAGAGAAGTGCCTCCCAATCTGGGGGGTGATGCAATGCACGTAGACACAGCTGGAAACAACAGAAAGATAAGAGCTACCACAGAGCAGAATGGTGGTTGCCAGCGGCTGGGAGTGAGGGAAATGGGTAGGTCAAAGGGTACGGAGTTTCAGTTATGCAATGTGAGCTAAGTTCTGGAGATCTAACGTACAGCAAAGTGACCGTCGCTAACAACACTGTACTGCCGGGGCGCCTGGGTGGCTCGTCGGTTGAGCGTCCGAATCTGGTATTCGGCTGGGGTCATGGTCTCCAGGTCCTGGGATCGAGCCCAGTGTCAGGCTCAGCACTCAGTGTGGAGTCTGCTTATCCCTCTCCCTCCACCTCCCCCTCTGCCCCATCCCTGCTCACGTGCTCTCTCTAATAAGTAAATCTTAAAAAAATAATACTGTATACTTGAAATTTGCTATGAGGCTACTTTGTGAGGTGACAGGTATATTGATTAGCTTGATTGTGCTGATCATTTCACAAGGTATATCAAAACATGTTGTACAGCTTAAGTATACACAATTATTTGTCAATTATACTTTAATAAAGCTGAAAAAAGAAAGGAACACAAGAGCTACCCCCAAAGAAGCAGAAAGCCTCAGGCATCACCTCACATACCAGACACGAGGCTGTAGGGGGTAGAGGACTGAGCAGCCCGAGCTTGTGGACTTAGAGAAACACTACTTCAGAGAGAAAAGAGAGCAGCTGAGGAGGCCCCTTCAACTTCCACCCACAGACTGAGGAGTCCTGAGTCAGTGTCTCCAGCTGAACCACACCTCCCTGCACTCCGGGCCTCAGTACCCATTGGCCTATTGGACATCCCCACCATCCTCCTGCTAGAAATCTTTCCCCCTCCACAATCAAGCAGCCACCGGGCTTCACCACCTGCGGAAGCCTTGGCCCCCCACTTGGCTAGTCTCCACTCCGGTCTCTGTCTTCCATCTTTCCATACTTCAATCCACCTGACGTATCAGATTAATGTATCTGGATCTCTCGTTGCTTAAAACTTGTTCATGGTCCCCCAGAGCTTAAAGTAAAAGTTCTTGGTTTCACACACAAGGCCCTCCAAACTATGTGCCACGCCTTCCTCCCCAGCCACAGTTCCTACATTTCCTATTGCACATCCTGGGTTCTGCCAGCAGAATTACTGACGAATGCCATGGCCATGTTTATAAGAGCTTTGTCCTCTAAACACCGGGAGCTAGGAGCTGCTGGAGCATCCAAGCCAAACTCTCCACTTAAGAGTAGGGGAAGCAGCTAATATTATATGTCAACTATACTTCAATTAAAAATTTTAAAATAAGGGACACCTGGCTGACTCAGTTGGCGGAGCATGTGACTTGATCTTGGGGTTGTGAGTTCAAGCCCCACGCTGGGTATAGAGATTACTTAAAAAATAAATAAATAAAAATCTTAAATCTTTTTTTTTAAATCAATTGCTCAGTAGGGTAGGGGAAACATCTATCTGCCTACAGACCAAACAAAACACATGGAGTCTCTTCAACAGGACCCCTCATAATCTTCTGAGACACAGAAGGAGAAGACATCGAACAAGTAAAAATCGGATTCCAAGGACAGAACCAGGAAGAAGAGGCCCAAGACCACACCTTACGTCTACGGCACGGTGCATGGCTCGATCACGTGAACCCCTTCTAGAGGCGATACCGGAGCCCAACAGAGACCCATACTTGAAGGGCATGAGTTGTTATTACTAGTCAGGAATTATTCCATATATCCATGCAAATTATTGTTCATGTTTTTCTCACCCAAGTCCCTTAGTTTTTAAAGGCCCCAATTTAAGAATTCTGCATACGGGACAGGACTAGAGCAAAACGGTGACTCCAGCTTTCCCATTACTGGAAGGGCCCCTGGGTATCGCACTTCCCACCCCACCCCCACCCCCAGGGCATCAAGGGGGAGTCCTAAGCCTGGGAGAGTACCTTCCAAGCAGGCACCGCCTCTAAAACCCAGCTGCCCTCTCTGATCAATGAGGTGTCAAGACAAGAAACCTGGTAAAATCCATTCCTGCTTCTTAATGGCAGCAAAAACAAAAGAAAGAGGCCTCCCTCACCATGGAGATAGGAAATAGTCTAATGATTCTCTGACTCAGCCCACGGCGGGGATGATGTGATTAAATGGCACTCAGGCTCATACAAAGGAAACATTCCGTTCTTGCTCAGACTCCTCCGCTTTTGAATCCAATTGTCTCTAGAGCACTTATCCCTTTCAAGTGGCTCAGAAGCACTCAGGGCAATTCCCCTCCACACCTTAATGGTGGCTGCCTCGGGAGCCAGGAGCCAGGCCTTTGCCCCCACACCTGTGTCGAGACCTACCAAAATACAGGAAGGCTAAATAAGACGCATGGTTGGCTTCAGGACCAGAAATGACAATAGGCAGGGGCCTACAATCACCAACACCAACCCTCACGAAGTTTCTTGGAAAACGGATTTTTTTTTTTTTAAGATTTTATTTATTTATTTGAGAGAGAGAGAATGAGAGATAGAGAGCACGAGAGGGAAGAGGGTCAGAGGGAGAAGCAGACTGCCTGCTGAGCAGGGAGCCCGATGCGGGACTCGATCCCAGGACTCCAGGATCATGACCTGAGCCGAAGGCAGTCACTTAACCAACTGAGCCACCCAGGCGCCCTTGGAAAACGGATTTTTGACCACCAGACACATGGATGCAGGTGTGCATGAAAGCATTATCTGTGCACCATCCCCGGTGGCTGGAGCTGTGCTTGCTACATCTATCCTGGTTAAATGTAAAAATTCCCATCTCAGTCACCTCTGGGAAAGTGACCAGAAACTCCCCTCTCTAGCATCAAGCAGGCACACAGTAATCCGAGAGACACTCACCCGAACAAGGTCCATTTCCGGGTTACTCTCCATGAAGGTCCAGATCTTGGGGCTGAGCTCTTCCCACATGCCTTGCACATCATGAAACACGGCCAGTTCCTGAAAGGTCTTATTCACCTGGAGTCAGTTGGGGGCCCAAAGGCAGCAGGAAAAAAGGAGAGAGACAGGGCCATGAGACATTCAGCTGCCCCCTGACGAGATGCTCCATCGCTGTTTCCAGTCTTTCCCCATCCCTAAGAAGTGCCTGCAGCTATGATTCAAATACCCAAGGCTGGAGAGCTGGCCCTCCACAGTCAGCTCTGGCCTGGGCTACACTTGCAGTTCTCCCTCTTTGGAAACCCCAAAGAGCCATGAGCATAATCGATATAATCCATTTAAAGCCACCTTCACTTTTTTGCCCGTAACTCTAGGAGGATTCTGGAGAGGGATTTCTAGGCCTGCGCAGCTTACCTCGGCCATAACCTGTCTTGTGGCTGGAGTGTCAGGTGTATACAGGATCTTCCCAACAAGCAGAGGCTTGAGAGCTTTCCATATGATGCGGGAAAGAGGACTGGACTCCAAATTCTTCATCAGATCATTGCAATAAGGAGCTATGAAGAAGACAAAAGGCAGATATTCATATGCATGGTCATATACTTGTAGGAACTAACAAGGGCTTTGGAGCTAGCCAAACAGTCCTGGGTTCAAATCCCAGTTCCACCACTTATTAATAGCTATGTAACAAATAACTTCACTTGTGTGAGCCTCAGTTTGCTCCTCTGTAAAAATAAAGTTACTCTGTACTTGGCAGAGATGTGGTGAGGATTAACAGATGTTATCTATACAGCCCCTACAACAATGCTTGGCAAGTAATCGGAGCTTATTATAACACTGATGAGGGATAACTCACAACCGAGAGGATCGAGAAAAGTGTTTTTACTGTGCACATACCTGCATAACTCTAGATTCATAGTCTCATGTCAGCTTGCCCATTTGTTTTCATTGAGAACAGAGAGCTGAATTTAGATTTTAGTTTTCGGGCTAAAATAAAACATTTCCCTTTAAGAGGTCTCATCACAAGTATATGTAATATATGTAATAAAAATTCCTAAGGGAAAAATCCAAAGTTATGATAGACAATGAGGTTTGGTTATCCAGAAGGATTCCTGGATTTTTTTTTAAAAAATTCATTTTGGGTTTTTTAGATGGCAAGCATCCTCTATATGCTGCAGAGAGGATATATTAAAAAAAAAATTTGCTCATAGTTATATCTGCTTTGCAAGTGAAGGTTCCCTTGGGTTGACTTGCAAGTGAGGGAGTGGAGCGGAAAGCATTTCAGAAAACTGCCTCTAATGTCATCCCCTTCAGGCTTGCAAAGCAACCTGCTACGTCTGGAGTGCTTTACTCCCGAAAAGAATAAAAGGTTCTTGTGTTACAGTAATGCATAAAAAGCTACCTCACTCGGTGTCTGAAAGAGACACCTGCGGTTGGAAATGGAGAAAGGCTCACTTGCATCATGTTTTCAAGGAAAAGGATGCCATTGTCTAAAACTGTAACATTGGCCCTTGCTGCCACCAGACACAGAACACACATCCCCACGAAACTGCCCAAGTGTGAGAAGCAGATATGGAGTTACAAGGTTCTTTAACACCACCTTGCAGCTAAGCACCAAAAACAAACAGCAGATCAAATACCTGAGTCTGATGGCACACACACCACATTAACAGCTGTCTCAGAGGCCATATGGTTTGCGGGGGAAAAAAAGCACGGGGCCAGGCAGATCCGGGCTTAACCCCGGCTCTTGTGGATTCGCTACGGTGTGGCTCTGATCAAGTCACTTAACCTCGCTGAGCCTATAAAATGCGGGGATAGGGGTAAACATGAGGGAGGGGGGACACGGGACCCAGGCTAGCACTAAGGGGGGCTGAGGCCGGCCGGCCGCCCGGGGCCTCTGTTTACGGAGACACTCACTCGTAGAATTGTCGTAAAAGCTGTCGGCATCTTCATCCGTGCCGTTGCCGCCAAAGAGAGCTTTGTAGTTGTTGTCCTCGTACCAGTTGAGGGACTTGATCTTCAGGCCCCCGCCCTCGGGATGGCCACAGACGATGCGAGACACGGCTTGGTATATCTGGGCAGACGAGCTGGAGCTGTTCACGTTGGTCAGGAACATGACCTCCTGCCGCATGTCGCTCCAGCTGTTCATGCTGAACAGCTGGTGCCCGGGATCGGGAGGAAAAAGGGAGGGAAGGAGGAAAAGAGGGAATCACGAGGGTGGGGGAAAGAGAGAAAGCAGCAGCTTATTTTCTTGACCTCTCCAGAGCCACACCCCAGAACGTACCGCGTCCTGTCCTCCGAGCCTGGCGATGGGATTGCCAGAACACTGCTACTCCGCTGGTGGTCCCAGGACCAGCAGGGAGTTATGGGCGAGGTGCAGATCTATCCAACTACAATTCAAATCTGCATTTTCACAAGACACCCAAGGGATCCCCACGCAAATTAAAGATTGAGAAGCACAAACCAGAAGTCAGTGGAGCCCCCGGTGATGGGCTTTATTTCATTTGGATTATCTTCCGGTTGATGGAAGAGAAGGCTTTCTCTGAAGAGCCATTGTGTTCGTATACATCCGTCAGGAACTGCTCACACCCTAGAGCACGTCCTTATTTCTAAAACACCTTAAACTTCCCCGTGGGAACGGAGGACGCCTCTGCCCCCGGGAGGGAAAGGAGCGTGTGTGAAGTGCCCATCCTGGTCTCAGGGAGGTGTTCGACAACACAAGAAGCGTTAACGTGTGAGACCCAGGGCTGCATCCCAGCGACGTGTCTCATTCGCTGCCAGCCTTACAACAGTCACTTCTCTGAGGGCCCAACTTCTCGCCAAGACGATGAAGCTCAACGGAGCACGGGGCAGAGTAAATCACGTGGAATAGAAGAGAAAGCCCTGCACAGGATGAGTCCCACGTCTCAGCAGCGATGGGCCGTGTCTGTGACTTACACCCAACCAGCGCTTCGTCTCATAGATTAATGTGCTCCAGCACCTTGTAGAATTCTTGGCCCAACTCTTCTTATCATTAAATACTTATCAAGCACTTTGCATTTCTACACATTTCACAATAAATCAGTAATAAATCTCTACATTCCTTGAAATGTCACTGCATGTTCTCACCACCCGGAAGACTGAGCCATGGAGGGCGGAGGGGAGAGACCCAGGGGCCCTGCCCACGCCCTGTAGAAGCCCTAGATTCTGAAACCGTGTGCCCAGTTTTCTATCTCAGCCTTCTGGTTCCTTTGGGTCACATGCTCCTTGATATTGCAGATCCTGACTTTGCCTTCTGCCTCCAGGGGGAAACCAGGCACTCCAGGGGTAGGTCAGAGGTCACAAACATTTCTCCCTCAGAGGGAGCATCTGACATATGCTACGAGAACAGAATTGGGTGGCTAGCTTTTCCTTACTTTATCTTTTCATCACCTGGATGAGGTATCTGAACAGGGAGGGCAGAGGTAGCCAGACCACCTTTCCTTCCGTTGGTGGGTAAACAGCACTGGAGATGTTTTAATGCCAGTAAGTGAGAGCCACTCACTTCTCTTTCCACAGGCTGCCTCACTACCACCAGCCCCCAACCGAAAGAACAAACTTCTTCCCACATAAAACCAATGTATCTTTGGACAGAGGCACCAGAAGGATGGAGTTATTCCAAACTGTTGGCTCTTCCCAGCACCTGCCTTGGGGTGAACTCCTACTCATTTTTCTACACCTCAGCTCATGCTCCACACTTCCTCTGGGAAGCACTCCCACTCACAGGGAAGGGTGGCCATTTGTCCTCCAGCCCACGAAAGACGGTGTTTGATAATCATCTGTGGAGCAATTGAATGGCTGGCTGACTACTTTCTCAAGACACTGCAATGGCCCCCTTCTTCCCGTGCCCCCACCTTAGTCTCTTCTCAATTTAACAGCCAAACTGTAAACAGTCTCATACCCTAGGTCACATCATATACCCTGTGCTCCAACCCCCCCACTGGCTTCCCATCTTGCTCAGCTTAAATCCAGCCTTACCAGGCCTGCACGGTGCTCACCTCCCTCTCCGACCCCAGCTCCCAGCACCCTCTCCCTTGCTCCCTCTGTTCTGGCCACACCATCCTCCTTCCCGGGTCTTTAAATACCTTCCTTCATCATGCCCTACATCAGTGTCTTTGTATCTGTTCCTGCTTGGAGTGGACAACATATGGTCATTTCTTCAGGTTCAACTGTCACCTCGTCAGAGAGGACTCCTCTCATTACCCCGTTGAAACAACACCTCAGCACCCTCTATCCTTCTTACCCTGCTTTAGTTTTCTTCAGCACATTATATGCTGACCTGTTTATTTCTATCTCCCACCGTGCAAGCCCCACGAGAACAGGAAAGCTAGTGTGCTCGCTTCTGAGACCCCACCATCTAGCAATGTCAGGCACCTGGTAGGGGCTGAAGAGATGGGCTCCCCGTCCTGCCTTCCCCATCTCATCAGGCACACCTTCCCTGTCACCCAGATGTGGAGCTCATGCAGCTTTCACTCATCTGGTTCCTAAAGTCCCCATTTCTACCCAGTTGCCAGGCCCTGTTAATCTGCATTTCCTTCTTTGAAGAGTACCCTTTCTATTCTAGTCTAGTTTCCACCAGAGTTCATCACACAAAAAGTAGGCTCTAGCAGCAAGAACATGGGGTTTGTAGTCCAACAGTCCTGGGTTCAAATCCTAGTTTTTGCCAACTAACTACCTAGATGACTGTGAGTCCCACTCTTCTGAGCCTCAGTGCCCATCTGTAAAATGGGCAGAATAAGACCCACTCACATTTGTCATGTGAACAATACAGAGAAATGGGGTGAAACTGCATGATTCAGGGGGAGGGCCTCAGAAACTGTTAGCTCCCTTTTCCTTTCAAGGGTGGTGCTTTGGTCAAAACATCCAACTTTCTTTCAAACACTGAACAGATACACATGTGCATTTATTTATCTTCTCCCCATCTGTCTCAGGAAAATAGCAAGTTTGACAATAAGTAACTCATGGTCATGGTTACTTGAAGGTGTTCCACCAGAGCACTGGGTGGCCCTTGCTTGCCCTGGCCCAGGGAGCAAGCAGGGCACAGAGAAGCAGCTGCCAAGAAAAATGATACATGGCTCAGTGGAGACTTTCTGCCTCATCAGCAATGGGAACATCACATGCTTTCAATTATTTGTCTTACCCTGGACAAAAGGCAGACCAGTGATGTAAGAGAAAACACTGTACCCAGACCCTAAATTTAGAGACACCCTCCCACGTCACAGTCTCCGCTCTGCTTGCTCTAAGGCTAGGAGGAAAGCTGGGAGAGCACGGGGTATGCCGGTGCCCACTAACAGGACCCTAGAACAACGGCTATGGACTTGCAGGTCAGTTTCTGTTTTTCTTTCTGGAAGAGCCCCAGGTGACCCAGCTTCTGCACCTACCTAAAGGTCACCAGCATTCACAAGCAGAATAACAAATGGCAGGCTGGAAAGGACTTCTCCCGAAAAGGACCCAAAACACAAGCCTCTTTAGTCAGACACCCATGAGCAGAATTCAAAGAAAAAAGAAAACAACTAAATGCAATACGCCAAATTGTCAACAGGGCTTAATCTCCATGTTTTCCAAATGCTCTGCACTTCCCATCATGGACGTACAATACTTTTATTCTCGGAAAACTGAATTTTGATATTTGAGAAAAATAAAGCAAATACCAAAAAATGATTTAGAGAAATGATTCAAAAAAGGCAGGACCAAGGCTGAGAACATTATTCCTATCCACTGTCCTGGACATTTAGGCCTGACTATTTCTGACGGCCACCCCCTGGCTCAGCTCCTTATACACTGGGCTCCAAACAGCTCCTCTTCTCCAAGTCTAACCTGCAACAAGGTTGGGTGTTATGTGTTTGACACCGGCCGGCAGGCAGAGAAAAGGTTAACTGCTTTTGCCAGTACCCACAGGCCCCCCTGATCTTGTGCATATAAAGTTATTCTGATACATTTGTCAACATGCAGACCCAAAAGGCAAACGCGACTTAATGTTCATCAAGAAATGGCATTCCCAAAGGCGAATGTCAGAGGCCAGGTGTTTACAGGGGAAGGTCTGAATTAGGGCTACACGCCATCCTCTTTAGTTAGCAAACAAACGTTTTGGTAAAAAGACCGGCCTTGCGGGGGCGCCTGGGTGGCTCAGTTGGTTAAGCAACTGCCTTTGGCTCAGGTCATGATCCTGGAGTCCCAGGATTGAGTCCCGCATCAGGCTCCCTGCTCAGCAGGGAGTCTGCTTCTCCCTCTGACCCTCCCCCATCTCATGTGCTCTCTCTCTCTCTCTCTCAAATAAATGAATAAAATCTTAAAAAAAAAAAAGACCGGCCTTGCTGGGGTCAGAGAGTAACACTGGGAGAAAGTTCTAGATTAGGTACCGGGACTTCAGCCACAACTAATTAGCTGTGAGACATCTCTGCATCTTAGTTTCTTCATCTCTAAAGGAAGGAGCTCAGATCAGATGATTTTTAAGTTCACAGATGCTTCTAAAATTGATTTTATGCGTCACGTAATATTCAAATCAAAAGGACCCTCTAAGCCACACTCGGGGTAGAGAAAAAGCCAGAGTGGATGGTCTGCCTCCTGGTGCTGAAAGACACAACTTACCTCTTGGGCCAAAGTCCCGAGACTATCCAGCAAAGTTTCTGTGGCTTTAACCAGTTCCTTGTTCAGGAAGGGAGATGTAGAGTTTAGTTCCCTCTGGAATGAGAAAAAAAATACTTTGTTTCTAAGCTCAACTGTAAACCTGAAATCTTTACTGAAAATAAACAATTAAAAGCATTCACAATCTTGTGTTTAAAAGACAAGAAACCCACTCCTAACCAAAATAAGACACTAAAATTATTCTAATTGCCAGTCTGCAGGTTGTTTTAGATAAGAATTACTAATCCTCTAACGAATGCTTTTAAATAGTGTAGAAATATATATTTAAAATTATTTGATATGCAACAGATAAAACCATCTCATGCTGGGGGCGGTGTGTGTGTGTCTCCAATGCAACTCTGACCACAAATTCCCAACTCTGTCTGCAAGATGGGCAACAGAGGAATGACCCTGAGAAACAAGTTTGTAATGGCTCACAAGAAAGGAAGAATATGTAAAGTTTAAAGCTGCCAAAAGCATGGAAAGGAGAAATTCCCACTCATTCTGCTCAAGCCAGCACTCACACTGGAAACTTAATACAGAATGCTTATTTTTGTATCTACTTTTAGTCAGATCTTTATATTTACTCATGTGTATATTTAATTGCTGTTATATGCTACCTAGTTTCACAGCAAATATAAAAAAAATAATTAATTGGGCCCAAGGAAAAGATAAGTTAGGGCAGAAAGCCTACCCTAGAGAAGAAAAATAACAATGATGCATGGACCCTGAAGCCAGAATTACAAGAGCTGAGGAGCCTCAAATTTGGGTTCTGAGTTTTCAGGCTTCCAAAAAGAAAAAGATATAGGGTTAGTTTCATCATTTTTATTTGTTAAATAGAAAAAAAAGTTTCTGGGAAAACCCGTATTTCCTTGGCGCTTCTATGGGCGTCATTTTATTTAATATATCAGATACCTCTTTAATCTAGAGAAGGCTGGGCTATTTTTTTAAGATTTATTTATGTATTTTAGAGAGAGAGCACGAGCAGGGGGAGGAGCAGAGGGAGCAAAACTCAAGCCGACTCCGTGCTGAGCGTGGAACCTGATGCAGGGCTTGATCCCACGACCCAGAGATCGTGACATGAGCTGAAATTAAGAGTTGGATACTTAAATGACGGAGCCACCCAGGCGCCCCAAGCCTGGGCTATTTTGCTATTTGTCTTGTATCAAGAAATGTTATGAAATCATAATACAGACTATGTGGAAAATAGCTGGAAGTGGACAGAGCTCTTCATTATCTCAGAACTAGCAGCTGGGGAGATTTTCCTTTAAAAAGAACTCCAGGGGAGGAGGGCACCTGGGTGGCTCAGTTGGTTAAGTGGCTACCTTTGACTCAGGTCACGATCTCAGGGTCCTGGGATCAAGCCCCACCTGCACTGGACTCCCTGCCCACTGGGGATCCTGCTTCTCTCTCTCCTTTCCACTCATGCTCTCTCTCGGTATCTCTGTCATATCTCTAATAAATAAAACCTTAATAAATAAAAAAAAGAGATAGAGATTGATAGATAAATAGGTAGGACTCCAGGGGCACCTGGGTGGCTCAGTAAGTTAAGGGACTGACCCTTGATCTCAGCTCAGGTCTTGATCTCAAGGTCATGAGTTCAAGTCCCCTGTCGGGCTCCACACTAGGTGTGGAGCTTACTTTAAAAAAAATAAATACAAAATAAAATAAAAAGAACTCCAAATATAGATTAAAAGTTAGTATCATAATGATCATCATAATATCCAAGCCAAATCCTGAATGTACATTCCTGATAAAATCTGTCTAAATGTTCTATGAAAGAATCCATCCAGCCTGACTTATGAGCTCTCCTAGAGGGGCTTACTCCCCAGGGTCCACCTTTCCCACACTCCCCGTCTTCAGATGGGCCTCTGATTACCCTTAACCACTATACTCAAGTAGGTCTCGGTGATGCAACGCACAGATTGTTAATGATGATTCCATTAAGTAATCACCAGCAGAAACAAGAGGGAGATTTTTGGTTTTTCACTTTCTTACTACAGGTTTACATCATAACTAAAGGTTATCACATTGAGTTGACTCTACAGAACCTACAATAAGAAAACTTACAAACTGAGAGGTCTTCCTTGGAAGGCATGGGAGGTAAAGTGTTTCTATGCTTCCATCAGGCTCACAAGATGATGCACACTCAGGATTGTGCAGCAAAACAAAAGAACGCCAAATTAACTGAATGTCCTTTTCCACAATTTAAAATTTAGTAGTTAATCCATTTTTTTTTAATAAAGTCTTAATGGAAATAAGATTCTGATGACCGTTGTCACTCTGTCCCCTATTCTCTGGTTACGGGGACCTGGGGTGGCTACAGACCCCTGGGCAAATGGCTCAATGGATCAGCGTTCGTGGTGTGCACGTGGGCTGGCGGTGTCAAGAGCGCTGAATGACAGGATGTGTGCAGAGCATGTCACACAGCACCTGGCACACAGTGAGCCTCCAGTTCTCAGCAAGGTCACCCCTGCCTTCCTCTTCCCTTCACCGAAAGTTTACCACCAAAACTGAAGGGCTTTCTAGTTCTTGAAAAAACATCCATCCTCCCTTCCATTTCTTGGCTAGCTCTCGAAGAACTGTTTCTCCTGTCGAGGCGGCCTCCCTCCACTGAGCAGAGAGCTAGAGTTGTCATCTCAAAGCCCATCAGCCACTCCCAATGTGCTATTTCTAACATTAGAAATCCTCTTCAGTGCAAGACTAAGACCTAATTCCTGAAGGCTTGAAATGAATGCCCCTTTCCTCCTTACGGCCCACCTTTCCCTCAGTGTTTGCAAAACTGTGAAACAAAAGATATTAAGCAGATGAAATATATACTTATGGTAAGTAATGATCGGTGGATGAAATATAACTACAGATGTATATTTGTATCACACACGCACACATATAAACTTGTCCCAAGGTTGACATTTAAATCGAAAGACTGAAAAGAAAAATCATCACCACGTTTAGGTATGTGTGTACGTCTATACCTACATACATACACACGTGTGTACACACGCACACACTCACCTTAATGCATATGCAATCTCTTTATAATGATATTGATTTTTTTATGTTTACAGTAGAGAATTTCTTTTCTAAGTTTATTAAGCAAAAGAAGTGAATCTACAAAGAGGAAATATTAAATTTAAATGGCACCAATTGCCTTTGACAACAACCAAAACCATGGCAGACACGTGCGAAGGAGCAGCTTCCGTGGCTACAGTGTGGTCTCAAAGCTCTTGCACCAGCACCAGCTGCCGTGTTTGTTAAGCGTGCAGCCTCCCAGCCCTCGGAGACCTACTGATTCAGAAGCGAGGCATGTGAGCCAAGAAGCCTCGGGGGTTTTCTTTGCACAGAGAAGTTTGAGAACCACTAAGCCATAGCCCCTTGGACAACGTTCATGCCTCTTTTTCACAGCCTGTTTTGCGCGAAGGTGGCTGGTTGTGCATTCTGGTCAACACAACACTGTCTGCTTTGGATGGTGAAGCACTGAAGACAGGCCAAGCCGTTCACCCGGCTTGACTGGGATCGGAGGTGGTGCACAATGCATGTGAGGCCAGAACGGCCCACCAACTGAGTTCACAGCCACCAAGTGCCAAAGGCCAAGTCTCTGAAATCTTAGCTGGTTTCAGAGACTTGGCCTGTTGTCACCATTTGCAGTCACCTCTCCCCTGAAGGGTACTAATCAATCAGCAGTTCATACTGTTCTCAGATGATGCCTTCCTCATCTGAATGAATTTAAACTTTCATAGGTACTGATTTTCCTTTCAGGTTTTTCAACTTAAATGTCTTAACCTTTGAGGCAGGCTTATTCTTCTTGTTTTAAAAGCTACACAATTCAGCAAAGCTCCACACACGCACTGCATGACTGTTTAACCCCTGAACACCACAGCTGACCACAGACATAAGGACTTCATTACATTTACCATGGATATCAGACTTTCACATATTCAGACACAAATGCAATACCACATCATATAGTTATTGTCAATAGTCTGAGCTCTGGTTTGCTTCTAATTCAGGTTTTGGTCTCTAAGAGGAACATTGGCTAAAGCCATCCATAACTAATAGGTAGGACAATCAAGGTCCTTTTTAGGATCCCTTTTCACACTAACTGTTGTTTGAGATTAAGTGCTCAGTATTCATGAACATAAGTATTTGCAACCTATTGTCAATACAAATAAACTTTCATTTTCAAAGATGTGTTGGAGTTAAACACAGGTGTGGGCTGACATGACAGGGTTAAAAAAAACAAAAAACAATTCACCTTCAGCATTGTTTAAAGCTCAGGGTATCCAGATATTTTGCTCAAGACTTCATTTTACTTTTCTGTGCTTGGATGTTATAAAATATAGAGAAGAGACTGATGAGAATCTGCAAACTAAATATTACAAATTCATGGGGGAAAAAAAGGAAAAGAAAAAAAAATTCATGGGGAAAACATGGGCTATTCAATTACTGTTGCTGGGACTAGTTGTTCATGTAAGAAAAATTAGAAAGTTTTCCATCTCACACCACTACACAAAATTAGGTTCTTGGGAGATTACAGAGCTCAAAGTAAAAAAAATGAAAGTTGCAAATATATAGGAGAAGATGTCTTTATGAACTTGGGGTAGGGGAGGTCTTAAAATATAAAAAGTCCAAACCAAGGTGGAAAAAATGACTTGAGCTTTTTAAAAGTAGAAACAATGCACCAAAAGACACCATAAACAATGTGAAAAAATAAGCCAGAGACTGAAGAACGGATTTTTTTAAATTTCAGTATATAAAGGAAATACCATGTAGCAGTTAAAATGAATCAGATGCCACATGTTTAATACTGATAAATCTCAACAACATGATATGGACTGAAAAAGACAAGCTGCAGATCAATATACGCATTTATACAATGTGAACACCTACAAACCAATAGGGTATACTGTTATTAACAGAATGCAAATACATCTATATGGTATGAAGCAGAAAGCATGCAGCCCCAGGGTAGTGACGGTCTCTGAGGGAAAGAGATGGGGATATACACAGGCAGCATCGACAATACCTGTAATGCTTTATTTCTTAAAAAGAATCGG